TTTTTGTTGTTGATGTTGCTGGGTGGTTTGTTGTTGTTTTTTTTTCAGATGAAAGAACAAAACTGAGAGCTCAACAGGGGGCAAAGAGAGAAGAACCTGTCTGTACAGATATATGCCTCTTGCTTCTGCCGTGAAATCCAGTCTCAGAGCTGCCTTCAGCAGTGCAGATCCGAAGGCACACAGCACAACTTATCAGACTTCCTGTGATGTTTGGAATTCTCCTTAGGCTCCGGCTTTGGGCAACAGGCAACCTGTGTGGGAAATTCAGATTTCTTTGCCTTTTCCTTCGAGTAAATTACAAGTACTTTGGGTCTCTCTGAACTGCCTATATGTACAGCACAGGGTTATCCCTCTTGGCTGGAGACAGAAGGCAGGTTACAAGAGTATATGATTTCAGAACCTTTATGAATTTTTACCTGACTTCTTGGTGAACCTGATGTCTGGATGTGGCTGAGCAGCAAGACCTCACAAACAATTTGGTATTGCTTGCATTTGGCAGTCCTGAGCAAGTAGGCAGACATCTGCGATTTAAAAGATGTGATTCACAAGAGACAGCCATCACTACATACACACCGCATAGAGAGGGAAGCTGGCTTGAGGCCCTGTGTTCCCCGTATAAATTGCAAAAGGGAATGAAATTCCAAGTAAATGCTCAGACTTTTTGATTAAATCAATCTATTGCCACTACCCAATGAATCTTGCGTTCTCTTTTATTGCAGGACATTACCCAGCAGTAGTTGATACCATAAATGATCTGTACAACTTTCTGGGTAAAATAAGGACAAACTTATCTCACCGCCTTCAGATTCCACTTTTTTTTTTTTTTTTTTTTTTACTTCAATCAGGCCTTTAACATCACTTTAAAAGCATTTTTAAAAATACATCTTTATTAGATGAGAAGATAAAGGAATTCATTCTGGATAGGCTTAAATAATTGTGAATGAGGTAGGTGTAGACTCAAGATGAAGTGCATTCCTTGTTGAAATAAAATTGCTGTAGAGGAGACCTACCTGTGATGGAAGAAATAGCAGAGGTAGACAGCTGGATTCATATGTACTTTTCTGTGCCCTTTTCTCATCAGTTTGTCTGGTGGATAACTTTAATTTAGTGATGCAGTCTACTAGTCCTGTTGTAAGGGCCTGTGACCAACATCATAAATTAAAACATACATTTAGGGAATTGGTGCAATAGGCCATAGGATAGCTTCAGGTTCTTTTCAAAGGAACACACAAATGTTCTGAAACTATTCTGGTAACTTGGTCACACTGCTTTAATGCAGTAAAATGAGAATAGTCAAGAATAGTCAATCCTGCATATATGGTACATGACACAGTAAAATTCAGGCACTCAGAGCTGCCAGAGTCTTCACTTCTCTGGACATCTCTAGAGTTGTGCAGATAGTCGGTCTACTTCCCCCATCCCCAAAATGTCAGTGAAAAATGTTCCACAAAGTTATAAGCTCATTTAGACTGGAGGCAGACAGTCTTCCTGGCCTACTGCCCATCACAAAAGTAAACAAGAGATGCTGCAGAAAATTGCTGGCCATAAAATACATGCTCACACTCGCACATGTGTGCGCTCTTGGAATAGGCAGCAAGACCTTTCAGACTCTCTTTATCAGTTCAGTAGTTCTGAAGAAAACCAGGCAAGACTCAGCATCAACAGCTAAACGCCAGCCTCTGAGAGCCTGTGTAGCAGTTGCACTATGTATTTCATCCCAGTGGTTATACTGGAAAACCAAAACAAAGACAGAACTGAGAAGAGCTTATGGTTAAATACCCCTCTGCAAAGAATGTTGGTTCTGTCTTTACATTTCAAAGATTTATTGCTCACAGAAATCCCACTTTTAAGCACAGGCTGACGTTTCTACAATGACAAACTGTTTCTAGCATTGCAGAAAAGGACCTGGCGGTGGACACTAAGTTGGACATGAGACAGCGATGAGCCATAGCAACAAAGGAGGCTGACAGTGTCCTGGGCTGCGCTAGGACTGCTGCCAGCAGGTGGAAAGAGGTGATCCTTCCTCTCTACTCAGCACTGGTAAGGCCTCAACTGCAGCACTGGGTCAAGTTCTGGGCTCCCGAGATGAGAGGTTGCTAGAAAAAGTACAGCAAAGGGCAATAAAGATAATGAAGGGCTTGGAGCATCTTTCCTGTGAGGTTATTATGAGAAAACTGGTTCTGCTTAGCCTGGAGAAGTGGAAGATCAGAGGTAATCTCATCTTATTGATGTATGTCAGGGAGGGTGCAAAGAGCATGGGGACACTCTTTTCAGTGGTGCCCAGTGCCAGAACAAGAGGCAGTGGGCACAAATAGGAACATGGGCAGCTCCCTTTGAACATCAGGAAGCACTTCTGTACTGTACACTTCTGTGGGTGACTGAGCACTAACACAGACAGCCCAAAAAGGTTGTGGAGTCTCCTCCTGAGGGGACTTTAAAAGACCGTGGACATAGACCTGGGCACTATTCTCTGGGTGACCTGGTGTGAGCTGGCGTTGGAGCAGAAGGACCCAGAAATCCTTTCCTGTCTTAACCATTCTGTGATTCTGTGATTTTTATTTTTATTTTTTTTTCCTGCTGCAGTTTGCCCTTTTCTCCAGCCAGCTTGATTTCACTCCCATTTGGAATAAAACAACATGCAAAAGCAAAATTAAGCATGAAGATGTTAAAGGGATTTTCCTATCTGAACTTGTTTCCACTCTTTCCCTACTGTGCCTTTTTCTTACAAATCAAGAAAAAAGATGCTGAACATTTCCACTAGTGCTTTGCATCTCATGCAATCCAAACGTACATGACAGAGTGACAGAGTAACATCATTGTCCCATTCCTCCTACACACACATACAGATACACGCACACACACTCTAGACATATCATCAAGAGAAACAATATTGATGTCTAGTGCACATCAATTTTACATCAATCCCAAAAAAGTCTCTTTCTATTCTTTCCCCACCACTCTTTCACTGATTGTCACTGGGAGGCACTGCAAAGTACCCTTGGGAAGTACCAATGAAAGCTAGTTGGCCACTAGGTTCTGGGCCTTGTTAGCAAGATCTTGATGATGAAAAATTTTTACCAAGGCTGATCATTTTACAAATGATAGCCTAAAAGCAGAACAATCAATCAGTCAGCATTTTGCTGCCCACTGACTTTCTGTTTCCTACAGCTAGATGCTGCTGCTATTAACACCCTTACTAGAAGTAGACTCTTGCATCCATATGTAGCCTGAAATGCTGTTTTACCTGCTCAGAGTTAAAAGAAAGTGCTGTATAGGCTAGAGTGGTTCTATACGCAACAAAGATTTGGTTCTCCCCCACTGTGGAAGGCAAGAATGCCTTTGCGCTACTACTATTTTGCAGATGGCATTAGGAAATGTTTCCTTTAGGAGCTTTTTCTTGGCTTCTGTATTGGGGCTAATTCTTAATTTGCAATAAGCTGTCTATCTGCTCTGTTCTCCCTTGCAATGTGGGCTGACTTATATCTTCAAGAGAGTAACTGCAGTGGGGCAACTCGAGCTAGCATCACCTAAAGTGACCGTGACAGCCAAATAGAATTGCAGCAGCAGCACAGGCCAAATGCTAAATAACATTTACAAAAACTAAATAAAGCTGCTGGGCCCAAAGGCAATGTGGAAGATAGCATTTGGCGATTGCTCTTTTTAAGGAGGTATATTTTTAATGGTATTTTTATGTTATGAAGATATTGCAAATATGAATTGCTCACCAGTGAACACTCATCTTGCAAAGATTCCAACACTAACTAGAGCTTTCTCTCACACATAAAAGGAATATATCACGGAAAGAAAATGGAATATCTCCCACATGGTCAGGTTTTGGCAGAAATTAAAATATTAAATATTTCCCATTTATTGTTCTGTTCTTCACCAGTGAAGTTAGTGAGCCTAGAAAGGAGCCAGTCAGCAGCTAACATACAGGAGTCACTGCCTTTTCCTGTTGTTTTTAGACACAGACTTCTTTATCTAGATATCTGCTCATGCAAGATTTTTTTGAACCAGGCAGAAGTCCATTACATTATATCTTTGTCATATTATCACTTAAAATTCAGGAATGTCTTGGGATTCAGCCAGACTGGACCACTTTTGTATAAGGCCCAGTGGAGACAGAGGGTTTATGGGCAGTCACAGGCACTGCAGTTTTAGTCTGAACTTTTTTTTATTTTTTTAAAGCAATGGCAGCTGCATAGAGATTACTGCCTGAAAAACGCACTTTATTTTTAAAGGAGTACATTTCTAGCCCACAGTGCCTGGAAATGAAAGTCCTAAATGCTCCAGAACCAGAAGACATATAAAAAAGACTATAAAATTAAATTGTCTGCTTTCATGGTGTTAAGTCAATCCTGTGATCGATTGAGGAAAGGAGAGAGTGTGAGGAAGGAAAAGTGTCATTCAGTATTTCTGAATTCCAAACTTGGATGGAACTGCAGGTCCTTGCTGCTCCTCCCCATTCCAAAATTTAGTGATTTCAAACCGGCACCATCTTAATCAGACCATCTGCACCCGGAGTAGAGACCAATAGAACCAGTTCTCTGAGACGAGCATCTGTAAAATACTGTGTCATGACTATACAATATTGTTACTCAAGGATGCCCAGATAAAATTTCCATGCTGAAAAAAGCATTTCATTTGCACTATAATGATATGTTCCTGTTGCTGATCTTTGTGAGAGCTACTTCTTTAGTGGTCATTCTATTTTCCTTTGGTTTGTACCATGGCTTTGGGTTGTCAGGCACTCAAAATTTACAACAGATAGAGGCAAAAGCCCTGCAGTTCACCATGTGAAAACTCTTCCATGTTTCTAAACAAGTAAAGCACAAATTAGCTCACAGTCACTAATAAACACAAGAGTTTCCACAGAAAGGCCTTTTGATTGGGCAAACAAGCCTGATACCAGTAAGATTTTACAGGGCAGAAAATTTCTGATGTTTAATCTCTGTTATTGCTACCTTGGCAGTTCTCAGACATAACAAAAATCTATTTACCTTCCTCTTTGATCTGAAGATGCTCAGTACTGATGTTTGCTGGACCTTGAGTAGTGGTGTCCACATGTGGAGTCCTCAGTACAGGAAAGACATGGACCTGTTGAAGTGCATCCAGAGGAGGGTCACAAAAATGATCCAAGGGATGGAACACCTCCCTCACAAGGACAGGATGAAAAGCTGGGGCTGTTCAGCCTGGGGAAGAGAAGGCTCTGGGGAGACTTGATAGCAGCCTTTCACTGTCTAAAGGAGAGAGACGTAAAAAAGAAGAGGACAGACACTTTAGCAGAGTCTGTTGTGATTGGATAAGGCGAAATGGTTTCAAGCTTAAAGAGGGTAGATTTGGTTGAATATAAGGAAAAAGTCTTTTACAATGAGGATGCTGAGGCACTGGACTGGGTTGCCCAGAGAGGTGGTGGATGACCCTAGTCATAGTGACATGAATATAGCCCCTAGTGACATTCAAGGTGAGGCTTGATGGGTCTCTGAGAAACCTGATCTACCTGTAGGTGTCCCTAATCATTTCAGGGGATTTGGTCTAGATGATCTTTAAGGGTTCCTTCTAACTCAAACAATTCTATGATTCAATGATGATTCTATAACTCTTGTTTTAGGACTCACCAGTGAACAGGCAAAAGTCTTCCACATGTTCTACTTGCTGTCAGCCTCCTTTGGCCAGTGCTCAGAAATACTTGAGATATATCCAGGCACCAAGCCAGTATGTCCTTCAGGTCAGCTGATATAGAGCCTCCATGGCTAAGTCCAAGCTGGGGGAGGCTCAGGAGGTAGAAGACTTATTTTTCACTGAAATCTCTTTCTGAAGCTTATCTTTGAGTTAAACCTTGCTAGCTGAATGACAAGGTTAATCCAGTGAATTAGGTTTGAAAAGCCAAGTTTTAGGTAAATGAAAGCATAAAGAAAGCTATGGTTAGTGAGTGAAGCAAAAAGGAGGGAAAACTTGTGTCATTCCTTTGGAATTTATAGGCCATTTTTCCAATACGAAAGAGTTTTAAAAAAAATCTTTGAGATGGATTAGTTTCCCTTATCAATAAAATAGAATTATAGTTTACATTTTCAACAAGATCACATCTAGAAGCTTATTCTCTTTTTTATGGACCTCCATAGATCTCAGAACCTGTCTATTCTTTTTGTTTGTTTTTCTCTTTGGTTTTCTCCTCATATTCTTCTGCTATATTTCTCTGATTTTTTTTTTTCTTTCAGTTTTTTTAAATCCTTTCTACATTTCCTCCTGGTCTGGAAGGCAAGTAATGCCCATCAACATCATCAACCAGTTTCTGGAATGTCAACTTCACATGTCTTTCTTTAAAGGCTCTATAGTACTAGCTTAAACACTATGTTCATAAGAATGGTTTTGTGACACTGCTTTCCTCTGAGGAGCCACCTGTAGTCCCCACCAACAGTACACTGAGAGCCATGATCTGTCCTGAAGCAGCTCAGCCTCTGTGGGATCAGGGCACAGTATGGAAAACCATGGAACTGGAGGTGGTAAATTTTCTGATTGTATATCAGAATGAAACCAGGAAAACCCAACACCAGCCAAGAGAAAGATGGACTAGACAATATTCTATTCATGTCCCTTGGTTCTCAATTTCTGTTTGTTCTCCACCCTCTCATTAGCTGTGTTTTTCCTTACTGCTATTTTCACTCAGAAAACCAAGTTAAATATTGATCATGGGTCCTGATTTTTCACTCTCTTTCTTCTTATACTGGTAAGACTAGAGTTGCAGAGGCCAAAAGTACTATTCTGGTAGAGCAAATCACTTGGGCCATGTAGTTTTGATTAGTGATTATAGGAATGGCATACTGGCTCCTGCCCTACATCCCTGTTGATGATAGGCCCACCTAATCTAACACCACAGGAAGCAGAGCAAGACAGAGCATTCCTTACTTTGGCATTAGCGTACCCTTCCTGTCATTTAGCATTCTGGGGACTTCCCATGTTGGAGACTGTGCTCAGTTTAATTGTTGCTGTTGGAAGGAAACTAAATCAGCACTGTGATCTAAGCAAAAGCCCCCTATGTGCTCACCTAGCTCGCACAGTCAGGGGTGGAAACTGCTCTGCTTGTTTGTAAGATGACCTGGGGATCTCAAAAGGTCTTCTGTCTCACATCTACCACATGATGTCAAAATGGGATTACATCCCCTCGCCTACAGTACACTCACACCAACTGGTGAGTCATTTCTGTTTGCTCTCAAACAACCACTGGCTACTTGAACAGCCTTTTCGCCTTTCATGAAGCAAGGAGTGGCTGTTTGGTTTCTTAGCAGCTTGTTCGGGTGAAAAGGGGAGCTGCGTGCAGAGAAAGGCTCTTATTGTAACTTCTGTTTGCACTGAAAATTTTAAAAGCACAAGGCAAACAGGGACATCAAATATAAGCTATATCTCAAATATGGTCTTTTGTCTGAAAAGTGTGTGAGAGTGATGACCTCTACCTTGTTGGATGTTAGTGTTGCTAACAGAACTAACATAGCGTCTTCAGTTGTGTGGGGATATCAAGACTCGTCAAATTTTCAGGTTGAAAGTACTTTTTAATTAAACTTAAACTGTTGAATTATTTAATCTCTACATTTACTGGATACTTATCCACAGTGTACTCAACTATATATTACGAATGTCATGCCTTTTTCTTTCCCTGAGGAAACAATAAAAAATATATGAAACAAAAGCAAGTAATCCGAAGTTTAGAAGGTAAATTCCTTCACTTTGAAGAAATGCCCGGTAAATATTAGAAATATGCTGTTTAACAGTATGCCTTGTGACTTGCATGGAAGCAGAGAAACAAAAAGCCTAAATCACAGAAAGGTTACAGTGAGATAGGACAGACAGCTCAGAAATGGCAGCAGAAAAATTCATCTCTGTAAAACTGCAGGTGTAAACGCAAGAATCAAAGCAAGGAAATATGATAAGACAGTGCAAGCTGTTAAAGCGATAAAAGAAATGAATAATAAAACAATCTCAATAGGCCAGTGGTGTAAGTTTTACATGCTTCAGTGATTGTAACTGGGGTCACAGGGTACTTCAGAGATGTAGCAGGGATCAGCAGTCTCTTATGAAGCGTGCAGCATATATAAGAAGGCTGCTCCAAAAGTAATGCCTCTCATTTTATTATCTTGGCTCACAACATCAGAAGCAGATGCTATTGGAATGGCAGTAGAGACTGAACCTTTCCACCACTATTCCCTTACATATTTTTGCCATGCAAGAGATGGCAGCAGAGGGGCAGTCTGACAGAATGACATCTGATAGCTGATGAAGCTAAAATGGAACTGAATTCCTCCATGTGAGAAAAAAGTCACCCACTGACATTCATCGACACTTGCTGAACACTATTGGAGACCCAACGGTGGATATGAGCAATGGTGATACATTTCATCAGTGGTGACAGCAATGCGGAAGACAAGCCACATTCCAGACAGCCATGGAGATTTTGAGTGTGGCATGCAGGCTCTTGTTCATTGCTGGTGAAAATGTACAGCTAATGGTGGTGAATATGTTGAAAAATAATGTTTTGTAGCTGAGAATTTGCTCTATCAAAGAGTATTTTTGTGCTCTTTGTCTATTGTAGCCTCCATGGAAATAAATAGGAGACATTACTTTTTGAGCAACCCATGTATATGAAGATCTGCTGTTGTGGTTCTGCTGAGGAAGTAAAAGAGATGAAGTAACATTCTTCGGATAGGTCTGAATCTGCCCCTCCTAAATCACCCCAGTTCCTGAGAAAGCCTCTTGTACTGTGCTCCTGAAAGCATACCCATTGTTTTCTTAGCAGCCTCTGGTCTAAGCATTTAATGGCCTTACTTTTCCTGGGGAAACATCTAGTGATAGCGAAGAAGGGTCATCTGAAATGAGTATCTACAGGGAATGAGTCCCAAATCTCTTCCTGCACATTGTCTCACAAGACCATTTCTTTATGTTAGCAAAGAAATTAAGTTTAAAAGAAAGTGAGCTAACTACCAAACAGTCTAAATACAAAACTAAACTTCTGTTCAACTGAAGATAAATAAATCCAAGATAAGAGTCCTCTTTGAACCAGTGAGACTTCTGAAATGAATATGAATACTCACCTCTGAAATTTCTCTGAGAAATTTTACGAAAGAAGTGATCCTACTTTCAACTAAACCTGAAATGCCACAAACCTCCCTTTCTGTTTTCAATGCCAATCTCTATTTTCATACTTCTGTCTTTAGTTGAACAGAAGTAGAGAAGCACAAAGAGCAATGAGTGGCCTTTAAATGTTTCTCCTTTTTACCTAAGATAAGCAGATACAGCTATCTCAGCATTTTTAGAATTCATCTGTACTTTTCTGTGCTTACTACAGGAAGTGCTTCAAATATTACAAATACTGAAGTTATCTAACTGCAAAGCCCAGTTATCTTTGGCAACTGGCAAATTTTAAGAATCTCTGCTGTACAATTTTTTCAAACCTTATCCAGCACTCTATTCAGATTCAAATACAGCAGCGGTCAATGAGCATAGCCAGTTCTTTCCAGTAGACAAATGGACACATCTCATCCTACTGCCCCTTAACCTCAGCCTGGGAGGATCATTTTTCTTCTGTTTCTGAATTACAGGAAATGTCTTGGTAATTTGGATGTCTCTGTCACAGACTACTATGAAATTCTGACATGTGCAGGCTGCCAATAAAAGGTAAAAGAAAGCCAAATCATTGCTGATATCAATAGAAAGTGCTGAATTTATATATGAAGATCACTTTCCTCTTTGGGGAGATATTTAAGCATTACCACCTGTGTCTAAGTATAGAGAGCTGTGTATGAAAACCATGGGGCCACTCAGGATCTTCAAATGCACTTCTCCAGACACATGCAGAACCACAGTGCCTATCCTTGTTTATTGTTACTGCCAGGTGCTGTGGAGCCTAAGAAGGACTAGGCAAACTGTGGAGATATTTAAATCTGTTTTGGGTATTGTTTCATTTCATGTTTTGCTTGGGTAGACTCACAGATTTTGTCCCTCTTTCTGCAGAGAGGCTCTGATTTATAACAATATGGAAAGGCAATCATGTAGGCCTGCCCCAGTTGGATTACACACTATGGAAAGTGTGTTTAATTATGAAAAAGTAAAGACAAGAGGAATATGTTTAGACT